GACATATTTATATGGAAGCATCCTCGATAGTTTAGAGTCAAGATTTTTCAAATCATGACCCCAGGGTAGGGAGGGGCCATAATTGGTGATCAAAGTTTAAAATGAGAATACATAGGAGAAATTGTTAAAAATCCTCTTCCAAAGAATTGCAAATCCATATGATTAGCCATATTAATTCAGAAGCATCCTCAGGTAAGGTATATTCAAATTTGTTCAAATCATGTCCCCTGGGGGTAGGGTGGGGCCACAATAGAAGATCAAACATAGAAAAAAAGCTCCTTAAGCCATGATTAGTCAAAGAAATATGAAAGCATCCTCAGTTAGTGTAAATTCAAATGTGAATAAATCATACCCCCTTTCCCTGAGGGAGGGGGTATTTGTGATCACTTTTATACAGTGCAGGGAACTAATTTTGTTACAGCATCAATGCTGATTTGAATGCTTCCTTTGCTTGCTTATTTGAATGCTTCCTTTGCTTGCTGATTTAATGCTAGTAATCCTTATCCTGAAGCTGTTTCATAATTAGGTCAATGCTACCGGAAGTAGCATCATGCTACCGGAAGTAGATAATTGAATTTCAGCATTGCTGTTTAAAGCAATAAAACTGCCTTATATAATCATTTGAATATAAAATTTCATTATGTATAAATAATTTAAATAATTTACCAATTTTTTTTTCTCTGTTTTCAATTTTTTATTGAATAAAACGTCATTGATATTCTGATGCTATTAGGTCAATGCTGATATTAAGAAGGTCAATGCTAGATTTATCCTTTGCTTGCTGATGCTGATCCTGACAATGCTGTTTTTGAAATACTGATCCTGATGCTTGCTGGATACTGATGCTTATTTTGCTTATGCAGATGCTGATTTATGTAACAAAATTAGTTTTTTGCACTGTATATGTAATCTTTTCAATATTTTCATATAAGTAAACTTTTCAATACTAAACTTATTTCTGCTTTTTTTTTATTTAGGCAATGTGCTCAGATGAGCAATGTGGCCCATGGGCCTCTTGTTACTATATGTTATGTGTTATCTCCTTTCTTTATACCTCCTTTCCACGATTATTTAATGGTCACAGTTAGCAATTATCATCAAATGTTTGCCGATATTTATCAGCTGTATTTAGCTGTATTTCCATCATAGCATTCGGTGGTGAGTGCTAACTAACATTGTTATAAAAATTGACTGGTCAGTGGAAGGTTTTAGTAGTTATTGAACTTATTCATACAGAAACAAATTGTAATTATATACGATGGATTTTTAATCTTTGTTTTAAATTCTAGCACTTGTGGTTTTAAATCAATGTTTTTAACTAATATATCCTGCATAAAATCCTACTTCCACCTCCCTGTTGTAAGCAAGAGGCAACAGGTTTTACCTGGCTAATGGAAGAGGTATTAGGAAAAAAAAGCTGAGGAAAAGCAAAAATATAATTGCGGATAAGCAGTATAAGGCTGCGGAAATGCAGGATTTTTATACCCCCATTCCGAAGGAGAGGGGGATATACTGTTTTACTCTTGTGTGTCTGTCTGTCCGTCTGTCTAGCTGTGTGTGTGTTCATGTGTCTGTCCGTAACAAATTTTGGTCGCAGTTTTCTCAGCAATTACTCATCGCTGATGCTTGAAATTTTAGCACATTCTTTGTTTAGGCATGCCATATGGTGGGATTCATTTTTGTGAGAATCCGATGTCAACTTTCTGTTAATCTGTGCGTCTGTCCGTACCATACATAACAAATTTTGATCGCAGTTTTCTCAGCAATTGCTCATCGCTGATGCTTGAAAGTTTAGCACACTCTTTGTTTAGGCATGCCATATGGTGGTATTCATTTTTATGAGAATCTAATGTCAACTTTCTGTTTATCCGTTTATCACTGCGCTTGTCCAAATATGAACTTGTGTATTCACATCAGAGCGGGGGTATTATTAGTGAGCATTGGCTCACAGACTTCTTGTTTTTCCTGTGAATCATGTGATTCAGACTAGCAGAACCATAAGCATTCAGATTATTTCGGCTTATCTTATATTTCTTAAATATATTCTGCTAATTTATAGAATAAATGTATAAAAATGCAATGGTACTAATTAAAGGGATAATTAACAAAATGCTATTGAATTGACAGTATCTGACATTTTTAAGTTTCACTTAGGCACAGTTAGCATGTCAACACAGCTTCAAATACCAGAGTTACTAAATCCTCAGAAGATACATGCAAGCAGATTTGTCAATGGTACATGTAAATAAATACATGTATGATTTTTTGACAATTTAAATTTGACATTAAGCTAAGCATATTTAGTTTAGTTATTCCCACCTAAGCCAGAAGCCTTAGTAAGCCTTTTCAGTCAAAACTTGCCTGTCTGTTGTTGTAAACTTTTGCATTTTCCTATCACATATTCTCTAGAATCACACCTAAATGCCAATTTTAACAATTGCAAACTTGGCCTGAGTTAATACAACTCGTGTTTTATTTATGTCTCAGATTAAGGAAATTCAAGTTTTAACAGAAATGTAAAGGCTACTATCCAAGGGGAGAGCATTTAGGGATAACAAACACAGTGACGTGGGTTTAGTAAAACATTGAATTAACTCAAATGTCAAGATCATTGGGCCATATATTATATTGGTAGAGACTAAAACTTTTTTGCCCTTACAATGTAGTTATATACTAGCTCCTACAAAGAAGTTGTAAGGGTGTCCTGGAATCACCACGTCTGTTTATCTGTCTGTAGATATGTTTTGTCTGGAAATAATCTTTTAAACCACTTTATAATAATGCCCCGGTAATCGAAGAGTCTAGGGTATAAAGTTTTTGCCCCGTCCGTCCATATTTCACATGTGTATTCCTTGTGACAAGACCTTCCTTTGGGTACCAACATATTTGACCTTGACTTTGGAGTTTGACCCACTTTTGTAAAAATTTACCCAAGTTTAACCTTGGCCATAACTTTTGAACAGTTGGTGCTAGGGTTTTCAGATTCAACATGTGTATTCATCGTGACAAGACCTTTTCTTGGGTGTAAATATTTTTGACTTTTTGACCTTGATCTTAGAGTTTGACATACTTTTATAAAAACTTTAACCTTGGCCATAACGGTTGAACAGTTAGTAATAGGGCTTTCAAATTTCACAAGTATATTGCATGTGACAAGAACTTCCTTTTGATATCTACAAATTTGACATCAATTGACTTTGGAGTTTGACCTACTTTTGAAAAACTTTAACCTTGGTCATAACTTTTGCTAGGGCTTTTATATTCTGCATGTTTATTTCATATGACAAGGTCTTCCCCCTGAATACCATTAATTTTGACCCTTTGACCTTGACCTTGGAGTTTGACCCACTTTTAGAAAACAATAACCTTGACCAAACCTTTTGTATGGTTGGTGTTTGGGCATTTTTGATCTCTCGACCTTGAAGTTTGACTTGCATTTGAGAAACTTTAACGTTTGAAATAAGCTGCCATACGGGGGCATCAGTGTTTCACAAACACATCTTGTTTTTACCTACACTTTGTAATTATATAACATTGATCTAACTGGTAACATAATTTACAGACTGATTTGTCAAACTTTTGAAAAGAGGAATAAGAGAATTCAATTCTGATTTGAACATGACTTTGTAATCAAGAAAACAATCTGAGGCTCATAACTGATTGAAAGGTAGCTTGTGTCCAGAGATGAGCCTTGACCCAGTACCAAGGGCATTTTTGATATGTTCATGGTCAAAAGGGTACAAATGTATTAAATTATTTTTCAATCACAACTCTATAATGGAAACACAGTAGACATTCCTGAGACAAAATTTGCCTGTGACTCAAAGGTATATCCAAAGTCTAACATAGGGTAATTTGAACTAGATATGTTTTTAAAATATAAAATAATCATAGGTTGCTTAATTATGGCCAGAGGCAGTGAAACAACTCTGCATGTTGGTCATTTAAGCAATGTAAAGGTCACAGGAATTGAAGTTTAAATTCAGTTTAAATACCATAATTATATAATTGTATATTGAAAAAAAAGTAACTGCCAAAGATCACACTACCCTAATGGCTGATTATGATCATAAGATAAGCCATTTCCAGAACAGAGGTCATAAAACAAAGTCAAGATCATAGAGGTATCCCAGAAAATACAACTTTTTATTGGAGTAGTATCTGGAGAACATACTTGGCATACAGGTGATTATGACCAAGAGGTATTAATTCTACTTAAGGGCCTAGGGTAGTCATAGTTAATTTAAAAAAAAAAAATATTGTCCAATATGAATTTTTATTAACCTGAGATTGTTTACTTTTGTATTTTCAGGTAACAACAACACCCTCTGAACAGAATCCTCAAGATAAAGAAATCTTATGTGATGAGAACCTCAATAAAGAAGATAGAAAAAAGATCAATGGTTTTAGTTTTCAATGTAGAAATTAATGTCACAATTGTCTTTATTTAGTCAGGGAGTCCAGAAAACAAGTTTTGATTCTTCCAAATTCAAAGTTACTTTTTGTATAATCATGCATTACTTGTATCTGGATTAACTCAGAGTAAGTAAGAAAAAGAGAAGTTTAATATTAAATTCATGGTAAATGTTCAAGAAAAATTCATTTGCAAGAAGCAAAAATTCTGTTTCCAAGGAAGAAGGATAGAATTAATGGATTAATGGGTTTGGGACACTCATAGATAAAAGCTTGATATTAATTTCTGGGGAACAAAAAATATGCTCGTCTTCGCACGATATATATTCATATGAAACCTGTGTTCTTTTTTCACATGGATTTCGTACGAATTTCTTTTCGCATGATATTCATGCGAATTTCATGTGAAAATCGCATGATATTTTCCTGCGAATATCATGCGTGGTCCTTTTCGTCTCCTCTTCATGCGAAGAATTCACATGATATTCTTGCAAATTTCATTTGAAATTCATGTGAGCCACTTTTCCCTGTATAAATACGTTTTAAATGTATTAAATACGACAGGAGAATTCTTTTTATCTTTTCAGAAGAGAGGGAAAACACTCTGCCTTCTTTAAACGAATTGTCAGCAATAAACAGGCTTTGAGTTGCTGGTAAAATCCATCAAAGAGACAACTCTTACTTCTATGTTCCCTTATAATATTTTATGTTAATCAAGAAACTTTCTATTTCTTACCTTGCTAAAATTGATAAAGTTGAGAACATTACTTTTCAAAGATAAAAAAAATATAGGAATTTTACGAAAATTATATTCTTCAATGTGATATTGTATAAATCAAAAATAAAACAGAACATAAATTGACTTTTACTTTATATATGTTATAGAATTCTACATTTTCATATATCTACATAAAAAGAATGATTTTCAATTTCATGTTCGTTTTCTACAAAAGATGAACTATATTGGAACTATGTAGTTAATATTTACACATACTGAAACATAAAATGTTGGCAGGTGTGCATGGTTAGAATTAAGTGTTCATGTACCCGAATCCCACAATATTTTAATGATACTGGTTTTTATATTCTTTCTTTAAAATACTTAGTTAAATAAATATTTTACAAGGAAAGACAGGGGTCGATGTTTATAGAAGAGCAGGGAAATCCAGTAAAAGAAGGTCTTTGCATAAATAAAATGTCAAATATTTATTGTATAAACTGCTTACAGTTGATTATCATTGCTAATGTATACAAAAAATACGTTGTTTATTTTTACAAAAGACAATTTAAACGAGTGTAAGTTCCGCTTTCATGCAAGGGTTTTTAAATATTTCCTTTTGACATTATTTAAAAAAAATGTTTCACTAAAGAGAATAAAAATAAAACAAGAGGCCCATGAGCCACATCGCTCACATGAGAAACTTTGGCCCTGCTGTTCTTCACCAGATTTCCCCCCTTGTGACCCCATCCTATCCCCGGTGTTGTTATGATTTCAACAATTTAGAATGTACACCATCACAGGATGCTTCCATATAAGTTTCATCTTTTCTGGCCCAGTGGTTCTTGAGAAGAAGATTTTTTAAGACACCACCCTTTTATGCATTTTCTTGATTATCTCCCCTTGGAAGGGGGCTTGTCCCTTTATTTTAAAAATTTTAAATATCCTTTACCAAATTGTACCAATTTCGGTTAAAATTGGTTCTTGAGAAGAAATTGAAAATGTAAAAAGTTTACAGACGAACGGACAGACAGGCAAACGGACAGCTAGACGGACGGACGCCGGACACTGGGTGGTCAGAAAAGCTTACTTGAGCTTTCATTTCAGGCGAGCTAAAAAGAAATAAAAGATTTGTAGATTATTTAAAAGTCTCCAATGTAGTTTTTCGCAAGGGATGTTTAATTCACGAGCGTTGTCCCAGAAAAAAAAAAAACTATTTAACCAAAACTGATATTTTTTTTTCGCTTTGTTGAGAAGTGATATTTTTGTTATTTTGACACAATATTTTTCTGTTCTAAAGTCATATTCATGTAACAGCAGTATCTAAAGTGTGTCAAATATCGGTGGTCGGCGCAGGGCATTTTTTTTTAATTTTAGAAATAGCATTGTCAATGACGTTTTCTTTATTACCAAGCTATAAGAAAATATATGAAAAAAAGTTATCTCCATATAAACTCTATGATCTTGAGTACTCCTGTGTAAAAATTCATTTATTTGGCATCAGAAGTGACAAAAATATGACGTAAATTACCAAAACACTTTTAGTTAGATATTATCAGGAATTGTGACGTCGGGCGATAATGTGGAGCACAAATTATCAAGCAGTACTGTATTGAGCGGGATATGGCTCTTGTTCATACGGTAAAAAAGAGATGCCACAAACATATGTCTAGGACATTGATTTATACATAGTTGGGGGTTTCGAAGATGGCTTGACTGGTTAATCAAAAGAAGCGTTGGTAGACCGATAAAAAGGAAGACAAAGTGAAAAGTCAGGAGTTGAACGTCATACATGGCGACCGCCTTTCAACTATTCCACGATCTTTTGGTAACGCTTATATCCGATATGAATAACCTGGTAACTAAAAGAAAATTTAACACAGTGTCGAATTTATGCTTCAAACGAATTTAATCAGAATCACGATTCCATAGTAAATTTAAAGACGCCACGAGCTACTTTTGACCTCGTAAGAGTTGCACCGATCCGACACTTATTTTGTAAGATTCGTTTACCTGAAAGAAAATGTTGTTTATAGAGATATTGAAATTTTCATGCATTATTCAAAAAATGTTGATTATGATGTATGCCGGTTTTTAAGTTCATAGTATTAGTTAGACAAAAGATATTGAAAATGTTCGGCTTTTTCTGGGACAACCCTCGTATAAAATGACTTTTTGGGAAAGCTTTGAAATATATAATAAAATACAATGAAACAATACATAATAATCAATAAGCATAAAAGTTTGATAAGAGGCTATTCATACACAGTATTTCAAAAAAATAATATAGTACATAAGAAATGTGATATTTATATACAAATGAAATATATCATGTGTAACATGCATGTAGATTCATATTTATTTACTTTGTATCCTTATTCATGGAAAAAGACATGTACTACTTAAAGGTGACATTAAAACATATAACTATTTTGTGTATGTAGTATAACTGTTTTAAATATATAATTGACTTATGTAATAGAATATAATGTCCTGAATGAAAATGAATGATTGAATGAATGAAGGAGGCTAGAATTAAATTACTTTTTTAAATAATCTTTTTATAATGTTAACATAAATTGTTGGAACCGGTCATATCTACTTTTTTAAAGGCCCTTTCACAATTGGCGCACGATCACTTTACAACACTTTGTGATCGGAATGTTTTAGCATACGTTGTATGCGTTTTAATGGTGGCATCAAGTCTCCTCAAAATAGTGGACATGCACACAATTCAGACGCGACGGAATGCGATCCAAATAATTGCAATGCAGTGCTCGAACAATTAGTGCGAACGTCTTGCACCTTTTTGCGTACTCGCAAGAGTTATGCACGATTATTAAAGGTCGTAAGATGAATTGCACCTATCTATGCGTGTGTTTGTCGAATATGAGACTGTTGCTCAACCTGTCTCATGTAATCTTGCAACGTTTTACTATCATATATAGCATAATTTATCAGCCTCAGTTGGTCTCCCTTTATCTCTAGTATATATACCCTGTATAAACATCTTCTCTCGCAATTAACTACATGTATATCAACTGTAGAACGTCGGAAAAGGGCAGTATATATAGCCCCTCTGATTCGCACGAGCATTCGTACCATGGAACGCATGAGCGCACGATCGAGCGCCACACGTTCATTCACATTGGCGCACGTTAACCTGATCACTCACGCGATCCTATCGCATTATCTTACAACATTCGCTTTCATTGTACAACCGTCGCATATATAGGCGGAAGATATATCGCAAGATTTAATGCACAACGGTCGCTTTAGAACGTGTGAATTTCGTACGAATACTTATTCATATGCGATTATTTCGGCAACATTTTACGATCCAAATCAAAATTTTTCTGTTGCACGAATATTCTGCTCGTGTGCCAATTGTGAAAGGACCTTAAGCAACAGGCAATCTACATGTGTATTTTATAAAATCGTTTCTTCATAAACTAAAATTGATGAATCTGATGTTTATATATGAAGTTCAGTTTTGATCTCAAAATCGCACTATCGACAATGAACACGAATAATATTTGATTTATTATTACTAATATTTTTGACAAATGTCATAAATGTATAACAAATATTACACTAATCAACGAGGAAAAGGTAAAAGCAAAAAATACGGGTCCTCCATTTCGTTTTCATACAGGACCTGAAGAGCTTTTGCTTCAGTTTTTGTAAACTGTGAATTGCTCTTCTGCAAACAGATTCCAGCAGAAAGGGGCAAGGCATCTCCTCTATTTGACACGATTCTGTTGTGATTTGTGTTTTCACGCAGACATGGATAGCCAGAAGAATAATTCTGGTAGATGTTATCTTTTTTATTATTCACATCAATGTAGCTAAATTCTGATCCATCAGTTGTGAACGAGTCCGCAACTGAGTGACTAGCAATGCCAGCAGACAATTCTCTCAAAGATAGATAGTCCACATGTATTTGATTAACTTCCGCTAAATCGTGATTAATTTCTGTTTCTATTTCAGCTTTGGTTTCCCCCTGTTTAAGTGCCCGTAGTTTTACTCTTTTAGAGATCTTAAATCCAACGTGCAGCAAAACTATTACGAGAGCACATAACGCGACTGCAAGACAAGCAGAAAAGAAAACAGTTCTCTTTTCATTTCCTGTGTTGTTCCGTGTAACATTTTTGTCGTTGAAGACATCAGCTGTTAAAAAAGATTAAGAATGACCAGATATAACGTTGTCACATTCAGGAAAATTTTATTGAAATTTAAACAAAAATTGCAAATTTTGTTACAAGCAGCAGCCCGTCCGAGAAACTACAAGATCTGTGGAAACAATTTATTCAGGTACTTGAATATTTAATTTGAAGTAGGGTATACCATGTTGTTTATAACTCCCCATGCAGTTCACGTTGCATGCATGTATCAGGTAAATGTCCAATACAGAGTAGGGCTACTGTATGTTTTGAATTAATTGTTTCATAGAATAATATAACAGCTTTACCAAAAAAAAAAAAAAAAAAAAAAAAAAAAAAATCAGCTTAAACAAGTGGCCCATTGGCCACAACGCTCACCTGAGTAGCTCTGGCCCTGCTGTTCTTCACCAGATTTTCCCCCTTGTGGCCCCAACCTTTCCCCAGTGGGCATGATTTAAACAATTTAGAATAAACACTAACCCAGGATGCTTCCAAATAAGTTTTATCTTTTCTAGCCCAGAAGTTCTTGAGAAGATTTTTCCTATATTTCAATATAAAACTTTGATTCCCTATTGTGGACTCACCCTATCCCATGGGGCCATGATTTCCCTTATTTGAACAATTTAGAATTCACATTACGTCAGAAGCTTCCACATTAAATTTCATCTTTTCTGGCTCAGTTGTCCTTGAGAAGAAGATTTTCGAATGACCCCACCCTATTTTTGCATTTTCTCCCCTTGAAAGGGGACCCAGCCCTTTATTTCAAAAATAGAGAATCTCCTTCTTGTAAGAATACTTTGTACCAATTTTGGTTTCATCATTTCATTTCGTCTTTTCTTGCTATGTGGTCCTTGAGAAGATTTTTAAAGATCTTTTCCTATATATTTCAACGTAAAACTTTGATTCCTTGTTTTGGTCCCAACCTATTCC